CTCTATTTCCAATCGTCCAATAGTGTGAAGTCTCTCTATTTCTTCTCTCGTACCAGTGCTCCGGTCGAGTCTCCTAAAGAGGTCGCCAAAGATTTTAGCGTAAGTCGCACTATGTATCTACCGTCCGAATTTCGAGAAAAGAATTGGAACAGAATTGCGTTTCACGGTCTGCCTCATCGCTACTTAAAGATTTTTCAACTGTCTTTGGAATATCTTCTTGTTTCCAGAAATTAGTTAGCAGATTTTGTAAATCATGGTCAACGTGACAATGATAAGACCCTCCTTGAATTTCACGAATGCCATGAGAGACCGGTCCGGAAATGGCCCAACCAAACAATGTTAATTGTTCAATAGGTGAGAATGATCTCCCTTTCCTTAACTCAGGCTTAATAATCTGGCCGTAATGATCTGCGCCAATGATGATGTGAATCGGTCCCGGCTTACCAAAGTTGATATCTGCCAGTGGTAAATCGTTTAAATGCGTCCAAGACGTATCAATTACGATAAAAGACGGTATCTCACAAGTTAGCCGCGGAAGAATGTAGGCTTGTAAAGAGTAAGAATCATTAACGTCTAACAGAGAGTGAAGCACAATATCTACTGAGCCTTTAGTACGTCCTGAACACGTCCCACCAATGCCTAATAACGGAATCGTAGCGGCTTTTCGTACAAGTCTCAACCGCTGCACCAGACTCTCTAAAATGAACGACAACTCCGATCCAGGATCTAATAGTGCCCGGGCGGTTACGAAATCGCCATCGCGAGTTTGTATTCGAACTTGGCATGTAGCTAATAAAGTAATTGGCTTCTGACTAATAACGCGTTGAACATGACCATCGGACGAAGCTTCTAGTCATTTAGTTTCCGCGCTGGACGCTAATGATGACGAAAAGTGATCGAGCGAATTGTTTGAATTAGTTTTAGCTACGGATTTTTCTTCAGATTTAGTATCCCTATGCAGAGAGGTGTGATGTTTACTACCGCATTTTCTACAGCGACGAGTACTCTGGCAACGACTGACGATGTGATTTCCTAAACAGTTAAAGCATAATTTTAACTTCAAAACTGTGCGTTTGCGATCCTCAAACGGCTGGGCTAAGTATGTCGGACAATTAGATATGAAGTGAGATGATTTACATACGCGACATTCTGATCCGTCCTTAGAGGACGAGGCTACAGCTACCAAACTGCGTGATTTAGTATCTGACTTGTTATGAGAGTATGAAAAACGCTTTTCCTTCCCAGGCTGATTTGACGCGGAAGCTAAACTTTCCCACGCTCTAGAGTAACCGATTATAAACTCCTCAAATTTCTTCCAAGTAGGAAACGAAGTCGAGGGTCCGAGCTCTACTTCCCATGCTTCACGTGTGTACGCATCCAGTAAACGAGCTATCAAATATATTACTAGAGGGTCCCATGAGCTTGTACTGCAATCCAGCGCTTCTAAAGCTCCTAACGATTCGGTGACTGTGGCAATTATCGTATTTAGTTCCTGCGCTGACTTTGTCTTCATTGGTTTCAAACGAAACAGTCTATCCAATTGCGCAGAGATTAACACTCGTTTGTTCTCGTATCTAGAAATTAAAGTCTTCCATGCGATAGAAAAGGTGTTTTCATCGACTTTAAGATTTGTTACGAGCCGCGCGGCGTCTCCTGTCAAGCACGTTTTTAAATAATGCATCTTCTCAACGTTAGTGATATCACGATTATCGCCTACCATCGATGCAAACAAATCATGGAACGATCTCCACGTGCTATAATCGCCAGAGAAAGAAGGTAGCTTAATCTTTGGTAAATTTCCTCGACGACTCCCGTGTCGGACTTCTGGCGGTGACTTCTCAGACCACCGTGACGAAGAATGAGAAGCTTCTTTCTGTTCTTGTTGTTCGAGTAGTACAGCCTTTGCTTGGACATAAAACTCCTGGCATCTCTCATACGTTCGTTGTTTGACATAAGGCTCATCCTCGATTCGCTCTGGACACTCAAGGCACATTTTCTCATGTTCCATTCGAAATTTGACCCAATTGGCCTCAAACACTTCCAACCTAGTAATTAATAGATGGCGAGACACTGAATCAGACGATCCCTCAGATGCGTCCTCAGCGGCGTTTTGAATTAATAGAAATCTGTTCATTTGCATCAATACTTGCGCACGAAATTGATCCATGGTTGAAACAAGCGCAACGTCTTCCTTTAGATAGTAGCGGGATGAGACGTGCTTAGCAACAATAGATCTCCAAAAGGAATCTGATAGATATCCGGTACAATATCAGCAACTGCAAAATATCATTAATTAGAATTAGCTTTATTACGCGGCGACAACAGACGCCCGACGCATTAAATCGTTTACTGTTTGCTGACAGTCAACGCCGCAGCTCACGCCCCGCGGCGGATCCGGCTCGAAGGACCAAAAATATGTTCGGTTAAGAACGTTGAGGATAGATTCGGCCTGCGGGACGTGAGCAAAACAAAACGGCAT